ATATTAAAGGCACTTTTCTGTGTGTGGACAAGACTGTTAGCCAGTCATTTTCAAACCTTTTTGACAAGGCCCCCCTAGGGCTGATATATTTCTCCTGACCCCCCCCCTCCCAACTACACACACACACACACAGACACACGAAACAGTATTCCACATATCCGCCATCATAATAAATGATTTAGGTGCTGCTTTGCCATCACGTTTTCTTTTAATACTACTAGCAACTAGAAACCAAATACGCAACCATTAACTGAGCAACTTTCCCACCAAAAAACCTTCTTACGTCACTAGACATAGCAGTTCAATACGTGGTGCTTGTCCATTTTACAGGCATAATATATGTTCACATTATTTTTCATATTTCTGAAGGTTGCAATATGAAAATGAATCGGTCCCCAGCTCAACCCCCCCCCCCCGCACATTTCCTTCATGTCTCAACTTGGGGGGGCAGTGGTTCTCACCCTTTTTGCACCACAACCCAGTTTTTACCATGCCAGCTCAGTTGCGACCCTATATCAAATGCAGGTTTAGATTAACGCTATGGTCAAGTGCACTCTGCAATTTACGCCGATCAATGCCTATCGCACAAATCCGACTGGATGTGCCAGAGATTTTTAAATTACACATCAGTGGCTTGGCTTCTTCCATCGGTTGGGTCATGACCCACGGGGTTGAGAATCGCTGCCCTACAGTTTGAATATCTCTGCTATAAGCCGCTAACCATGTGCTCCATCACCAGGTGCAGATGCGACGGTGTCTCCTCCACCTCGTAGAGCCGCGCGATGTTGGGGAGCCACAGGCGCTCCATGCTCGCGACCTCCCGCCACAGCAGCTGCTGCTTCTGGGGGTCTAGTCTGGTCTTATCCAGGATCTTTATGGCCACCTTGTCTGAGGGTCAATGGTACAGTAGGGAGTCACAGTGGAGCACTTTCCCCAATAAGAGTGAATGGAAGCTGCATGCTTTGGAACGTGTTTCACTTGCTCACTTGATCCCGTACCTTTGGTGAGAGAGTGGACCCCCAGCTTGACACAGGAGAAGATCCCACAGCCGATCTCACTGCGGACCTTGTAGAAACCAACGCGGCGACCTGCAGCCAGCTCACGAACTGTCTGCTCATCACACCGCATGTCCAGGTAGAGCTGCTCCAGGGGTGTGGCCTGCTGCTCCACAGATGTGGCCTCATCCTCACTGGCACTGTAAGAACTGTCCTGGGCTCTGCACTGTGTGTGGAGGGGGTNTGTCCAGTTTACAGTTTCTAATTTCCGTCTCATACCATTAAAGTTAGCCTTCCTAACATTGTATACTTTTAATTTAGACTTTGCTCTTCGGACACTAAAATTAACCTTGAATTTAACCATGTTATGATCACTACCGTACAATGGGTCTAAAACCTCTAGTTTTCCAATCCTATCTTGGTTATTACAAAAAACGAGATCAATACGTCCACGAAGGCTCCCAGGTAGCGCTCGCCCCAGAAGAGCTCGGGGGTGGCGTAAGGGGGCGACCCGCAGAATGTGTCCAGCAGCTCGTCGCGATGGCTGCAGATGCTGAAGCCAAAGTCGCCAACCTTCACCAGGCCACTACTGGACAGGAAGATGTTCTCAGCCTTGAGGTCACGGTGGACGATGTCGTTGTCATGCTGGGCGGAATGAGGGTATGGTCAACTACACAGAGAGCCTGCAGGATGATGGATGGATGGATGGATGAATGTCCAGTTAACTAACATACACAATTACCCAAGAAATTAATTAATTATAATCAGCTCTCACTTATGTTACTATACTGACACATCGGGCCCTATGATGGTGGCCATGAAGGGAGCCTGACAGTGAACCTTCTGGACCTTGGTGTCTCTAAGAGTCCAGAAAGCCGGAGGATTTGCAGCTCCATGAGTTAATGCTGTAAAACTAGGCATTCTCAGTGTCTCTATAATAAATACTCTTTTGGGGGCGTGATGATATTAAAGGCACTTTTCTGTGTGTGGACAAGACTGTTAGCCAGTCATTTTCAAACCTTTTTGACAAGGCCCCCCTAGGGCTGATATATTTCTCCAGGGGTGTGGCCTGCTGCTCCACAGATGTGGCCTCATCCTCACTGGCACTGTAAGAACTGTCCTGGGCTCTGCACTGTGTGTGGAGGGGGTCCCTCAGGCTGGGCCCACTGGTGAGGTATATGAATACCATACCACTGGCTGCATGGCTGTCATGGCAACAGTCTCAGACAGGAAGACTGCATCAAACACATACACACACAAACACACACATACATGCAGCAGGTCACAATGACAGGAAGACAGCAACACACACACACACACACATAGCAGGTCACAATGACAGGAAGACAGCAACACACACACACACAGACACACAGCAGGTCATAGTGACAGGAAGACTGCAGCAAACACACAGACACTGCACCCTGCACAGGGTGTATGTAGGACCGCCGCAGGTGAAGCCTGAAAGCCAATTTTGAGAGACTCAGGGCAAGCTTTTCCCTTCAGCCCCTCAACATAAAGCAGACATGAATGCTGGATGTTTGTGTGTGTGACAAATACATTAAAAACATGGCTGCTTCCTCATGCCCTTGCTTGTTATAGTAGCTTGTTTCCCAGGAAATTCACCTCAACATATTCTCATTAATAACTTATTACAGTGTTCTGTGATATACATTTTTATGGGCTTCAAAATTACTAAACATCTTTTGTAAGAAGTACAGTAACTATATGTATGTAAGAGAAGAAATTATTCAATGCATAAAGAATAAACAAACAAATCCATTTATAACATTCATATTCAACAAGTATCCCGGAGAACAGGATGACGCTCTATGTCTCACCTGTGCAGAATCTACAGCCTCAGGTTTGTCTGTTTTTTGGTAAACGTTCGTCATTGTTTGAGATCCCTGCTGATTTATGCACATTGCAGGAACAGTGCAACCGTAGGCAGCTCACTGTCTAACATCTTTGAATAATCTTCTCAGCACAGCCTTGAAGTCACACCCATCCCAACACACTCACTTCTTTGCATCCTAGTCCATGCTGTTCAAACTGTCTAAATGGTTCTCATGAACTTTTTCAGTAAACCCCAGAAAGACAGTTAACTGGCAAGGAGATAGAGCCTTGTCCTTTATGCCCATCCACGCTGGCAGTTTGGCGGTGCGGCGGATTAAAGAGGAGCGGGACCACTTACACCATCTAATCGCATTGGTGTAGCGCTCAGCTCACCTCTGGCCTAAGCCAGCACCAGGAGACTACATTTCATTTGCGTGTGGAGTAGACACAAGTGATTAGTGGGGGATGAGACAGGCCTGCTGGGGTTTTTTCAGGACAATGGGGGGTGCCGTTGTCCATTTGCGCCTCCAGTTACTGCCCTGTAAACTAACTGTCAATTCTGATGATTATACAGTACAAATAATCATAATGGCAAAATAACCATTATTGACATAAACTGTTTTTACCTTTTATTTTATATGGAGTCATGCAATGACAAATGTATCTATGAGAAATAAAACTATGGCAGATTGTTAACCTATTTCACATGATAATTATGTTATTATTAGTTAATTGTATTAACTTCAAATTCCAAGACAACCAAACATCACAAACATTGGCATGCACTTCATAACTTTCTGAAATAAAAAGCACGTGAACAATGCACACATTCCGTACTAATGCACTTTATTTAGAATTTGCGGCTGGCAGTGGGTCCTTCCTGCTCTGTCCGCTAATCCCACTGGAGGGAAGGATGCACTTCAGCAACACCAAGAAGAAACCTCTACAAAGAAAACCCAAGAAGCACAGAAGGTCTCTGATAAAACACATTGGATCCATCACGTATTTAAAGTTACAGATATTTCAAGTGGATAGCAGCAGCAGATTGAAAGGTCACTTTTTGTGACATAGAGAAGGTGCATATTATTGATAGATATGATGAATTAGGGTCATCCCTCTGTAGTCAGGCATCACTAGCAGACAAAGGAAACCTCGATCAAGGGAAAAACCATCTCATATGGGCAGGTTCACTGCTGGTATTATTTAGATGCTGAGCAGGATATTATACTTTTCTGCTTTTACCATTCTTTGCTTGATAGATGCTTCTGTCTGAAGTCATTAAAGTGAGTTTATGGCTGCTCTTCAGGTTAGAAAGAAAACCATTCTGAGATGAGAGCTTCAATGACCCTAACCCTTACCGTCATCCACTGAACAGAGGAACCCTTCAGACATTAATAATGGATAGTTGCATGGGGGTGGGTGGCTTTAATCCCTTTATCCTCCACGTAGGACAGGCACAGAGAACAGAAGTTAACACTGTTATGTGAATGTGACATCCAAGAGCCTGATCTCAGAGCCACTGAGGTCAGCAATGACTGCCAGTAAATGGAGATAAAGTCCCAAGACTCTGGGTGATGACAAAGGTTCACAAACTGTGTTTTAAGATGTTCATGGATGTCGATCTCACGCACATTTACTTGATGCCGCAGCTCCACTAGATTGTTCACTTTACTTTCTGATAATATGCTGGGCTTTGAGAACCTGAAGTACAAAGGACCTTCTTCTATGTTCTCCAGCCTCATCTAAAAGAAACAAATGAAGTATGTCCCCTTTGACAACAGGTACCATCAGGCAGCTTTGACAGCAAAAATCTGTTAGTTTCATATTCTGTGCCATTCCAGTGGTGGTAGAGTAAGGATGTTTGACAGACATCAATGAGCGTCAGGGATTAGCAATACATAATGACTGGCTACTGTGAATAGAATATCAGTGCAGGCTTGAATGACAGCAAACGAATTGGATATCCAAAATTGTTAAACATGCATAAATGCAAAATGCTTTGAATTTTACTATGCATATGTATAATTAGGAAACCATAATTCTCATTCTCATGGATGAGGTCTATAATAATGCCAGGCTAAATTAAAAAATGCACCAAAGAAATATATGTGGATGAGTGTGTATGTTTATGATTGTTGATATTTACAGGAATCAGAAAACTGCACCACTCTTTTCTCAGATGAAGGGAAAGCCAGTAGGCATGGCAAACATACCTAAAGCTTCTTTCTCTTTGATTGGTGTGTTTGCTTGAATAGCTGCTGCTGCAATGCTGCCACCTGCTGGTGGAGAGCTGCAACCTCCCTGCTCTTCTCCTCCTGCAGAGACTGCAGCTTCTACATACAGTATGTACACATACACCATATGTAGACTGTGCATGTGCACATATATATGTGCAGTATATGTACCCTGTGCATGTACACGTATAGTGATGTCTCATGTAAGATCACACACACACAAGTCAGATGTAGACACATACACAAACTCAATGACCTCCGTTCTTGTAGTACATGTATAATGATAATAAAGATATTTAATTCTATTTAATGCAATTAAAACCTCAAATAATCCAAACAAACAATCAAAACAAAGAAAAGTTACTTAAAACCATTAAAGGTATAAAAAGACTTTTGCATGTGTATTTGTCTCCAAGCAACTTCTTCAGGTTTTGTCCTCACAGAAGAGCAAAATTTGTTCCAGTATGAATGCTAATTATGTAGTATGTACATGTATGCTCATGCCATGCAAACAGTACACACATGCAAACCAAATCACACACTGAACACACACAGAGATGTGTATTTACATCACAGTATATGGGAACACTAGATACTGTAAGTGCCTATATCTATCATAAACACCAAAAACATGCATGCAAAGGAATAAGGGGGTAAAAGACTTACACGTTGGAAGACACTTCTAGACACTGGCGGAGTCACTTGCAGTTGCTTGTGGCCCTGACAGGAGGCCTGAACCCGGGCCATCCTGGCACTGAACTGCCGTGGGGTCAGAGACAGTGTAAAAGCTGAGCCATGCTTGCAGATGGCTAAGCAAAGCACCTCAGGACAGATCACTGACCCCACCTCCATTTGTAATTTCAGAAGCTCGCTCTGTCTCTCTCTTTCCTGCTCCTTTATCTTCTGCCTCATCTCCTCCAGCTCTGAATCCTTCAGCTCTGCAAGTGCTTTCATCTCCAGCCCCTTCATCTCGACTGCATGGGAAGGTGTGCAGAGCATCTAAAGCAAACTCAGTGTATCCCTGTACAAATCATGTTCATGTTCCTTAAAATGCAGTCCTAACAGGAACATCACAGATCTGTGCACTGAAGTCTAATGGTGCTCAGTAGCACTGATCTGCCTAGAGTTTATGGCTTCTGACTCATCACTGGCAAAGTGCAGTTCTGCTCAGTGTCTTTGCATCATCACTGAACATTGGTGCTTCCCATAATAATACTAAATCATTACTGGTAAGATCAAAATAACAAAGGACAAACCTACTCACAGCTGCCAAAACACTGCAAAATCATCAGAACATCAAGCCCTTCCCTAAACAAATGGATCGTGGCAACGGCTCACCACTGTGCCGCATTTCCCGCCGCATTTCCTCCAGCCCCTCCTGGTGGCGGTCCTCCAGATCACGAAGATCCTTAGCCAGCTTCGCTTCACAAGCTTTACCCTCCTGAGTCACATGGATAAGCCATACAACTTTGAATGGACCACAACTATGCCAACCTATGGCTGCTGCATACATGAGGAAACATGACCTTACCAACTGCTGTTTTAACCTACCCAATCCTGTGGGGTATGTGTCTGTCAGAATTTCAGTGTTGTTAATATATGCAGATATGAGTCAAAATGGCCTTTTCAATTTCTCCAGAAACAAAACAGGCGTTATGGTGGCACAATGGTTAGTGCTGCTGCATCATACCAGTTAAAGTCTCCACCATGGCTGTGTGTGTGGAGTTTGCATGTACTCCCTGTGTCATCATGAGGTTTCCTCTAGGTACTGTGGTCCCCTGCCCCAAGTCCGAAAACATGCTGTGATTCATTGGAGTTACCAAATTGCCCATAGGTGTGACTGAATGGTGTAAGTGGGTACAGAAAATGGATGGAATAATGTTCCATTATGTTGAAAGAAAGAAAAAGCAAAAACAAAGCATCCTGGTTACCCCACCTCTATCCTAGCCTGAAACTCTCTCTCCATCAGCATAATTGTGTTTCTCAGGCTCTCATTCTCCCCTGGAATACGGGAACGGCAGGAAGTCAGACACTGTGCACCACCCAAAGGGACAGCCTAAGCAAGGTAGGGAGCAACTTACACCTCAGGTCACACTGCTGCTGTATCGATTGCTGGAAACCAGTGGCTGTGTGTAGCAGTTTGTCTCTCTCTGGAATCAATATGATAGCAAAGGTGAGAAGGCAGCATGACACTCAGTGGGTAACAGTGTTAGCTCACACCTCCAGAGTTAGGCATTCAAATCCTGCCTCCACTTTGTGTGTGGGACTTGCAGGCTCTCCCTATGTCATGTGAATGTCCTCCTGCAGTGTTTCTGTAGATTCTATGTTCATTGCTGGTCTGGCAACCTGTCTGTGGTTTAGTATGCTTTGTGACCCTGTCTAGTATTTCGCAGATAAATGGATCAGTTTAAAGTACTGGGGGGAAAAAACAAATTTAAAACAATGTCTGCTCAGAACATTACATATAATTATAATATCCTGAGTTTAAACCCACCTTTTTATTTTGGGCAATTAATCTATACAGCAGTTCTGCTTTGCAAAAATGTTTACGCTCTTTGACCACTAGATGGAAATATAAACACGCGAACTTCATTTCGAAAATTCAGTAACGAAAATGACGTATTGTCAGTCAGTGAGAACTACTTTCACACACGTCAAAAGCATTTTAGTGTATATTACATGTATGGCCTACGTATACCGAAAAATGGATCTTCGTGGATCAAGATTCATTCACAGTGGAAGATTTAAGATGTGTTATGGTGCACCAGAAAAGACCAATAAACACTACCTATTCGGTTATTTTTTAACGTTAATGTGTCAGATCGACCTTAAAAGGCAAAAAGAAAAGGAAAGCGCTTTTCCCCTTACCTTCCTTCAGATACTTTTCTTTGGTCCTACTTAATTTAATCAATTGGCTGGTTTCTTCTAATTTAACCTCCAGGAAGCTATTCCTTTTTGTGACTTCTGTAATTGTCTAGAAAAAAATAACAAATCCTTTATTTCAGTGTAAGCGGGTGAATGCGCACACACTGCCGGACCGTGCGGTGAAGCGTGGCCGGCCAGTGGCCAGCCGGGGCGGCGGAGAAGCCCACCTCCTCTATGTGGGTGAAGTCGCCAAGGAGCCGCTCCAGATTTACTGCTGCGCGGCACTGCATCTCGATAAGGTGGGTCAGGACTCGATTACCTGTAATAAAGCCATTTAGAGCGCGACCATTTGTATTTCCCTGGAGATACTAATACAACGACAACGTGGACGGGAATATATTTGGCAAGAATAAAAGCAATAATTTTAAAACGTCTAAAAAAAGAGTTCCGTTGTTCATACCCCTTTGGCAGATTGTAAAAGACAGCCCCATGCAGTACTTTCATGTTATTTTAAAGAGGGTAATTGATAACTACATTTAAGGCCTACTACATGTGTCCATGCACTTTGTAAAGCGGCTTAGTGGAGTGGTACTCCGTGGTCAATATCTGATATTGTGACACTGTTTGCAGTTACTCCGTGCCACCATGGTGTAAAGTTTGTCAAGTTTAAAAAGTTACGTTTTAAAAGTGCCTGAAGCTTTTGTGGCGAGACATGTTCACATACCCGGTTCCCGCGCTTGGCTCGCGTATAGCGCGCGGGGATTGTACGTTACAACGTCCCGACGCCGCACGACCCGTAATGTAAAATAAAACGTGTCCTGATTTCAACCAGCATGGAATGTGATTTGTCCCGTATTTCTGTACATTGTTTTGGAAAAAATTATTGCCATGACCCAACCCCCGGCTCCGCAAATGTTATTCTCGGAGACCCAGGGATGGAGGTGGCATCCCTTATTTTTTCAGATAGAAAATGGTAACCTTACCCGTCTTACAACAAAACACTTCAACAATGACACATTAAAACCACTGTTGCCGAGTCTCACGATACAAAAAAGCTCATCCCTGAAAACAAACCCACTGTATAAAAATGGAGAGATAAACCCCAAAATAAGCCCAAATACGCAACCACATAGAACACAGTTTGTCCTGTGTTTGACATATGTGTTCCTTGTAAATATGACATGCATACAACAGTAATGAAATACTGGAGTCATAGTTCTGAAGTTTTAATTTATAATTTTCTGTTATTAGTGACAGTAAATAACTAAGGCCTGCCATGAACCAAATTTGGTTCTTTGTAGCACATTTTACACACATTATTGGAAACTGAAACAAAAAATTACAACATAGCCTATTTCAGAGAGATGCAAAATTATGACAGATCTGCAGTACAAGAAGGTCCTAATTAACCTTTAACCACTCATTCAATATCAAATTCTGGCCGAAAATTAAGTGATGGAAGATGATGTAAACTCATATTAATCAAGTTAGCCACAGTGGTTGAAACTAGCCAGCAAAGTAAGAAGTGAATTAATGTATGAATGAGAAGAAGAATGTGACTGTGCTTTTATTCCCTAGTAAACCTAGTAAACCAGGAATTCTGTCACTTGTTCTCATGACTGATGGCTGTGCTGCCCGACAAGAAAACTACAGTAACCAGAGTAGAGTAAATCACAAATGGGTAACTATTTCTTTGGTCATCAGGCACTAACAATTCACTTCATCTTCGGCAGAAAAGTCATTCACCCTGAAGCTCAAGCTGGAAGCTGAGTACAGAAGCCATTACACGCAGCATAAAGACAAGCCTTTCCAAAAAAACCTAATTAGCAGAAAATGATTATATGCGTGTAATCTGATTGCTGTAAAGCTTTCTCTTAAACAGGCACAGTTTATGGGCAGATGAGCAGCATAAAAACAGTGTTAAATATCCATTGTAAAGGATACACTTTTTAACTTAAACCTACTGACCCATGTAACTGGAGCACGAAATTTTTAGATTGTCCATTTGTAGAAAAAAACCCCAACAATGTATGTAATGATATGCATGTATATACTGTAAACCGAAAGTCATTCAGCATCATTTGCAGGTGACAGACCCCCAGTGCCCTAATTATTTAAATTTAGATAATGTACAATTCAAATAAACATGATTCTCAAAAATATCTGTCTGAACAAGAAGTATCTCTTATGGAGACCTTTTATGCATAATAGCATGAACATCAGGGGTTATGTTAGGGTTATGTTAGGGTTATGTTAGGGTTATGTTAGGGTTATGGCCCTACAGCATCATGTAGCCAGAGACTGGGGGCGTAGGCAGGCTGGAGCCAGGCTGAAATAAGGGCACACCTCCCTCTAGCAGCCTTGGGGCTTTGGCTGATGGTTTGCAGCCCTCTGTAGAGGAGTCAGCGCTAATGTGTCTAGCACACTCCTCTGAGGTGTAGGTGCTGCTGTCCGCAGCCTCAGGCTGTGTGCCCCTCATCTCCTTTTCCGCTTTACTCTCTCGCCCAGCGGACAGCATGACTCCACCTATAGAGGTGACCTCGCCCACCTGGCTATAGAAGGCCATTGTGCCACTGCATGGGGTACAGCACTGCTTAGCAAGCAGTGGCCTGCTGGAGGCTGTGCTCAACTGGCAGGAGGAGGAGAGAGACAGTGGCTGCGGAGCTGCTGTACTGGGGAGTGCAGCTTGGGCCCTCAGCTGCTCTGAGCTGTAACTTCTCTCTTGGGTCAAATCGTCTTTCCAGCACGGGGCAGCAGGTTTGCCTGGGTCCAGAAGGCATTTCAGGTCCATGTTCTCTGCTCCGTGGTTTGGTTCCTCCAGGTCCAGCTTGAGGAAATCGATTAACAAATCTTCATTGCAGACGTTCGCTTTGTGGGGGTGAATGTGTAGAATGGAGTTGACTTCATCCATTTTGCCATTCTGAGCACATACGCACATGTTATTTGTGTGTCCAGGTGTGCATGTATGTTTATGTGTGTTTGGACATATGAGGGAAGAAAAAAAAGAGACGCATTAAAGAACGCACCTATAAAGCAACAGCATTTTCATCACAGTGGAATTAGCAACGGAACTGCAAGCAGAAATCTGGTCAGGGATCAGGACCACTGAACACCTTCAGGAGACGAGAGTACCTTCAGCAGGTCTGGATCGACCCCTTTGATCCTGGGGCTTGGAATTGGGGGTAAGAACAACACTGCCAACCTGCAGCAGAAGCCAAGTGTCACAACGGGGCATAAGGGAATGATGATCCACTTGCTAGCATAGGCACAGCAACCAAACACGGACATAAAATAATAAAGGATCAAAACAAAGGCAGTACACAATAAAGGAATTCACTAGGGGTGAAATGAAAGGCAGGAGAACACAAAACCATCCAACAAACCAGGAAATAGGTGTTGACAGCAAGGGGCACTACAACAAACACAGGGAAACACAATCCAATGCATACAATGACCGACAGAGGAACAGAGCACAGGCAGGTACATTATATGATCATGTAATGAGGTTTAAACAAGGGAAAGGTGAGGATCATAAACAATCAACCAAGCACTTAGGACTCAAACATCTACAGAAACAGAGACAGGACATAAATACAAAACTGGCCACAGGCAGAGTAAAACCAGGAACAAAACATACTGAAGACAAGGAGCAAGTACTAGAATGCATAAATGCAATAAACATGATTAACATGGGGTATAAAATAGCTCAAAAATGTCCAAAGATGGATGTATGGCTGGCAGTCACACACTCAGATCGTTCTGCCTTGCTGCAGCCCAGTGAACAGAGGAAAACAACGGGGACAGGGAAAGGTGCTAAGAAAAGGGAAACGGGGGAGAAGACAGGGTGGCCATACGGGGAAATGAGACAGAATGGGATAAGGTACGGACCAATCCTGACACGATGAGGGCGTCACAAATACTGCTGAGCATACGGGAAACGACAGACAGAATGGGATAAGGTACGGACCAATCCTGACACGATGAGGGCGTCACAAATACTGCTGAGCATACGGGAAACGACAGACAGAATGGGATAAGGTACGGACCAATCCTGATGTGATGAGGGCGTGACAAATACTGCTGACCATTGCTAAGGATGCAGCAATAAGTCCACAATGACCAGTAGAAACTGAGCAAGTGAAATGTCTGATATTCACTGATATTCGTTTGAATATTTTCCCCCTTTTCTGGCCATTTAATCCCAATTCACGTTACCATGACACCCATGCCTTAGCCTAGTGTCCTTCTGTAAGTTGATCCATTACAACAAGCACGAGATCCTGATCATTGCACATGACTGCTGCTCTTGTAGTCTGGCATGCTTTGCAGAGACTCCAACGAATGCCTACTGAACAGGTATGACAGTAAACCTATGAACCTTAAAGTCAGCAGTGGGTTTAGCCTCACCTCTGGTGTTGGGATAAGACAATCAGCAGAAGTATGGTGCTGACTCCTGCAGCTCCGAAGATCAGCAGCACACCCAGAACAAATCCTGATTCTGAAAAGCAATGTAAATGTACTTCAATACTTCAATTCAATACACTGTGTGCTTCAATGTGGTGAATCAATGTACACAACCTGTAATGAACCAATCTGTATAGATGCAAACTAGATTAGTCTAAATTGAATGTAGGGCAATCACGTTAACTGTGAGGTACTATGTTACTATAAACCGAGTATAGAGGAATCAGGTGAATTGGTGTTCACTGTCAGGTCAAATACAGCTCTGGAAAAAAATACACAGCAAAATTTTTAGTTTCACTCATTTCTCAATTTATGGTTATGCTATATATATCGTAAACTGGTTCTTCAGCCTGGTTCTATTTGATAAAGGCGCTGAAGACCTTGTAGATGGGCTTCTGCCTCGCTTTAGGGGACTTCGGTCCTGCTTCTAGGAGCCTGTTATGAACTTGCACTGCACTTCACACCACTTAATGTTTCCCATTGTTTTTGAAGGTCACTTGAGGTCATCCTCCCATTCATGAGGCACTGTTGGATAAATTGACGGTCATCTCTGGCATTAGAAAGTTGCTTCTGCCCTCTACCTGGCTAATTTTTGGTCATTCCCAGTGTCTCCTGCTTCACCATGTTCTTGTGTACTGCAGTCTTGGAAACTTTGAGCCTGGAAGCATCCTGCTGCTCAGTGTAGCCTTTTCCCAGCAGATCCAGGATTAAACCAGGATTTAAAAATAGAGATTGTTCAAAATTATGGAGTGGTCTCTTAATTTTTCCAGAGCTGTATATTAGTTCACAGTGAACAGAGAATTTGTTATTGTTAGAGAAAACAATAAAAAGCAGGCCTTAATTATCTGTTGATTTAATTAGTAAAATACTGACCTTTGGACGGGCTCTGAGTGACCAGCGTGATGTTGCTGTATTCCCCAAAGTTCTCAGATGCCACCATCCTGCACCTGACTTGTACCTCATATTCTCTGCCGGTGCTCAGTCCATAAATGGATTTCTGGGTCCTGGAATCAATGCCCAGCTAGAGGGACACAGCCAGATCCAGAAAATGGCTTTAAGTTGAGGAGCTGATCTGAGAAGCCTGAGAATTGCAGTGTTAAAAAGCAGGTGGAGTATATCCAGCAACAGAAGAGGTGGGTGAGCACCGGCCAACAGGGACCGAGTGAGCAAACGCACCGTGTGCCAGCTCAGGCTGCCCCTCTCACGGTACCGTGCCACGTACTCCAAGCTCAGCCATCCTGCACTCACGTCAGCGGACAGTGGAGGCACCCAGCGAAGCAGGATGTCGAAGTGGAGCCCGGAGCGACTCACGTTCAGGAGTGTCCAGTTCAGGCCCACTGGGGGCTCAGGGAAGACTGGGGGGGGGGGAAGACACTGTAAATATGCCTACAGGGATGCTAAAATAAGCTTATGTCAGAAAACAGAAGTCACTGTATAACAGAAGTATCTGAATGGCATCACAGTGCGATGGTTATGAGTGCGGCTGTTGGATACACGGCGGATGTCACCAATGTCCTCGACACTGAAGCATATCTCATCATAGGTGACATTCAGGGAGGCCGAGAGCAGCTGCAAGCAGTATGGAGTCCACACAGACGTGTAACGTGAGCTGAAGTAGCACTGGTTTGGCTCAGAGCTGTAGTGAGGACACTCATCCCAGCCCCCAGGGGACACACTGCAAAGCAAACGGGGATGGGAAGAGCAGCCAAATGAGGGTCTGTAGCTAACATCTACAGCTAAAGACCAGGAGCAGCCTAGTATATACCATATAAGACAGGGTTTCTCAACCCGGTCCTCGGGGACCACCAGACGGTCCACGTTTTTGCTCTCTCCCAATTCGCTGCCAATTGGGAGAGAGCAAAAACGTGGACCGTCTGGTGGTCCCCGAGGACTGGGTTGAGAAACCTTGATATAAGAGACAGATAGGGTATGACTAATAACCTAAGGATACGATACATGTCACGATAACCAGGGACGTGATAAAATATGCATGACGATACAGTGTGAATCTGAATACTGATCACATCCTACACAAACTACCAGTGAAAAAAGAGATATTTGTAAATACATTATTTGTACATATAATTTTGTGTCTGTATTATTTAGGCCTGGTTAACATCCACAGAAGTGTGACCGTGAGTTATTACAATCTTTGATGTAGTAAAATACATTGAAAAAAATGTATGGTTTCATTTCTGCTCTATGTAATGCCTCAAGTTAACTTACAATGCCTCAACTTTTTGGTAAATGAGATGTGTACACTGTGCTGTTTTTCCTGCAACGTGGCAAAAAACAAATTTGCACTGCGATGCACAAGACACATCATGGTCCAAATGTAAGCAGCCTGTTGATTAGGCCATTTCTTCTGGAAAATTTGTGGAATTTTTTTTTATTAATTTCTTCAAATATGAAATACTGGAGGGATTATTTTCCTGCTCATTTTTGCTGTATCGATTAAGCAGCTGTACTTATACACATATTGGGAAAAAACACATCACGATACATTGCCATATAGATTTTTTTCAGTACAGCCCTAGACACAGCTATGTTTATTCATTTATTAAGGCCAAAATAACCATGTTTATAAATCACAGAAAACTTCCTTATCAGTTTTCCACAAATCATGCTTACAGCTGCACAAATTGGAATGTTCTGGTAGGTTCCTGGTGCCCCCTTTTCTAGGATGAATGTATCGACCAGAAAGTCCCAGGGCTGTCCTTACTTTTCATTGAGGAAGAAAACCCTGAGGGCACCAGCCTGTGAGAGGTTCTGCAAATTTCCTGCAGTCCACCAGCAGCGGAAAGTCTCCTGTTCCCAGGACAAGCAGCTGGTGAAATGGGGCCCTCTAGTGGTCACTGGGAATCAGACCAGCACAAATACACCAGTTAGGATGCTGGGGAGCATGGCTGTTTCTGTGAGGGTTAGAGTTAGGATGCTTGGGAGCATGGATGTTTCTGTGAGGGTTAGAGTTAGGATGCTGGGGAGTATGGATGTTTCTGTGAGGGTTAGAGTTAGGATGCTGGGGAGTATG